AATTATAAAAATTTTCTAAAATGCATTTTAAAGTATTTTGAATCATTTACCAAGCTCGGTTCACAACAGAGAGTTGGATATCAACTTGTCAAAAAAATCATATTGTTCACCCCTCCACATGTTGGCGACAAAGACTACAAAACGGGCATCGGTGGACTCAGGATCACGAAGGTATGAGAGTTGTCGAAAATGAAGCTTTGATCAACAATGAAACGTTGTTTAAAGTTTTTTGGGGAAAAGTTCCTAAAAGAGGAAAGTTGAAGAGAGATAGAGAAAATGGGTTTCCAAATGAAAAAGGTTTCACGTTTTTGGGTTTTAAGCCAACATTTTTGGAAAATAGCAAAATCATGCCACAAGTCCTCAAGGATTCAAACATACATCCAAAAGACTAGCATGGGCACACCTCAACCATTGCAGTGGTCTCTTAATTGCATCAATTGTTATAACATTATTTGTATATCTTATTATCACTAAAAGCATAAATTAAAGGCAATATATATATCATGGTTATCAAAACCGGACCGGACCGGCCGGTTCAACCGGTTGAATCGTGAACCGGTGGCCTGCCCGGTCCGGTTATCTCACAAAATCGGTATGGCAATGAACCAGCTGAAAACTGATAGAACCGGCTGAAAACCGGTAAAACCAGTTTGAAACGTCGATTCACTTTTTTTCTTTTTTAAAAAATTAAACCAAACGACGTCGTTTGTTCAACAAGCCAAGACAAATCGACTCGAACTTGAAAACTTTAAAAGTAAGCTCAACTCGACTCAAAAACTCACGAGCTAAAAATTATCAAGTTCAACTCGAACTCGAAACATAATATTAAAACTTGAACTCGAAAAGGCTCGAACTCAAAAAAAAATTAGAAGTTCGATTGAAGCCTAAAATTTGAGCTCAATTGAAGCGAAAGAATAGTTCGCTCTGTGCTCACCAAAGGCTCCATGATTTTGAATGTCAATTACCTCTATTTATAGATGTAAGTTGGGATGCTCTTGTATGTTTCTTAGTCATGTGGGATTGTTTTGTTCTCATATTTTTTCTCTTTAAACTTTTGGGATGCTCTTATATGTTTCTTAGCCATGTGAGATTGTTTTTTTTTAAATTAAACCAAATGACATCATTTGTTATGATTTTTTAAAGCCCTAATTTTATTTTTTTGTTTATAGTTATATAATTATATTTATTATTTAATATGTTTTACTTTATATATTATGTTGTAGTTGATTTGAATCATTTTGTTTTACTTGATTTTATGGTTTTTAATTTATATATGTTATGACTTGTGATATTTTTATACCTTTTAATATTGTAAACTTAAAAAAAGTGTTACATATATTAATTTGCTTTGAATATTATGTAAAATTAAAAAAATATATTATTTTATATAAAATCCGGTTCAACCGCGGTTGAACCAGTGAACCAGTACCTTCACCGGTTCAATGTCCGGTCCGGTTTTAAAAACATTGATATATATATATAACGCTCACAAAAAGATTAGAATCTAAATCATTAAGGTAGGGTGGATATCACTTAGCACTAAGCTAAACCACAAACTTGATATAAATTTATAATATTTTGTATATAGAATACCTAAACCATTAAATAAATCTAATATATATTAATTAATGTAAACTTAATAATATTATTGTTTATTTAAATAATATTTTATATTCAATTTATTTCATATTTATATATTGAATATTATTATTAAATCACATATTGTCTATTAAATTTATTTAATATTTATATATTGAATATTTTATACCCATGACCTAAGTTCAAGTTTTCTTGTGATCATTTTAATCTCTTTTTTCCTGTCATTAGTGATAATAAGATAGATATATATAAACAATGTTGTAACAATTGATGCAATATAGAGATTAGTGCAGTGGTTGAGGTACGCCCATGCTAGATTTATGGACGCATGAATCCTCACACCCCGTTTAAACTCCATACGTTTTTCACTCAATCCGGTTTTGACACATGTCACATTTTGATTGGTGGGATAATTTATTGAATTAAATTTAAATTAGGATCAAATTTATAGAATATATAAGTATTGAGGACTAAATGTATAATTATACAAATTTTATTCATTGCCACATCGACATTTTCTTTAAATGTTAACGACAAGTGATTTGATCGGATATAATTAAATAGTTATGTAATCTATTGACAAAATTAAAAAAAAAATCGATACTTAAAGTAAAAGGGGTAAATAGGTAAATGGTCAATGCTACAGTTTACCCAAATAAAATCCTTCAATTACACATTTTATTTAAGTCCCTCAAGTTTTTCTCAGTCAAAATAAGTTCCAAAACTATTATTTATATCCATTTTAAGTCCTAAATTTTTACTTAGAAAAATTTCTTTCGTTAATAAGACGTTGAGATGTCATATTAAATTAGGTACTTATTTTGACTAAAGTTTTCTTGGGATAATTTTAATCTCTTTTTCCCATCATTAGTGATAATAAGATATATAAATAATGTTGTAACAATTGATGCAATAGAGAGACTAGTGCAATGGTTGAGATGCGCCCATGCTAGATTTATGGACGCATGAATTCTCACACCCCTATTTAAAATTCATACGCTTTTCACTCAATCAGGTGGTGACATGTGTCACATTTCGATTGGAAGGTTAATTTATTAAATTAAATTTAAATTAGGATCAATTTTATATAATGTATAAGTATTAAGGACTAAATGTATAATTATACAAATTTTATTCATTGCCACGTCAACATTTCCTTTAAATGTTAATTGCAAGTGGTTTGATTGGATATAATTAAATAGTTAATTAATCTATTCACAAAATTGAAAAATTGATACTTAAAGTAAAATGTGTAAATAGTTAAGTGGTCAATGCTATAGTTTACCCAAATAAAATCCTTAAATTACACTTTTCCTTTAAGTCCCTCAACTATTTCTCAGTCAAAATAAGTTCTAAAACTATTATTTGCAACCATTTTAAGCGCTATTTTTTTAATTAGAAAAATTTCTTTCGTTAATAAGACGTTGAGATGTCATATAAAATTAAGTACTTATTTTGACAAAAAATTATTTAGTGACTTAAAGCAATAATAGACATAATTTATGAATTTATTTTGAAAAAAACAATTTAATTGTGGTTATACATAATAATTTTGAGAATTATTTTGATCAAAATTAAATTAAATTATTTAGTGGTGACATGTGTCAGACTTTGATTTGAAGGTTAATTTATTGAATTAAATTTAAATTATGATCAAATTTATAAAATGTATAAGTATCGAGGACAAAGTGTATAATTATATAAATTTTATTAATTATCACATCTATATTTCTTTTAAATGTTAACGACAAGTGACTTGTATATAATTAAATAGCTCAATAGTCTACTGACAAAATTGAAAAATGATACTTAAAGTAAAATGGGTAAACAATTAAGTGGTCAATGTTATAGTTTACCCAAAGAAAATTCTTAAATTACAATTTTTTCCTTTAAGTCACTCAACTATTTCTTCGTCAAAATAAGTTCTAAAACTATTATTTGTAACCATTTTAAGTCCTAATTTTTTTTATTTCAAAATTTTTTTTCATTAATAAGACGTTGCTTAGTTTAAAAAAAATTATTTAGTAACTTAAAGCAGAAAAAGACATGATTTATGAATTTATTTTGAAAATAAACATTTTAATTGTGGTTAATATAAAAATTTAAAGAACTTTTTATCAAAATTGAATTAAATTGTTTTTCACTCAATTATATGGTTATCAGATGGTGACATGTGTCATATTTTGATCGGATGAGTAATTTATTGAATTAAATTTAAATTAGGATCAAATTTATATAATATATAAGTATTACGAACTAAGTGTATAATTATATAAATTTTATTAATGGCCACATCAGCATTTCCTTTAAATGTTAACGAAAAATGACTTAATCATATACAATTAAATAGTTAAGTAGTCTATTGAAAAATCGATACTTAAAGTAAATGAGGTAAATAATTAAGTGATCAATGCTATAATTTACCTAAATAAATCCTTAAATTACACTTTTTGTTTAAATACCTCAACTATTTCTTGGACAAAATAAGTTCTAAAATTATTATTTGTAACCATTTTTTAGTTAGAAAAAAATTTCTTTTGTTAATAATACATTGAGATGTCATATAATAGTACTTATTTTGAAAAATAATTATTTAGTAACTTAAAGAAAAAAAATAAGAAGATATGATTTATGAATTTATTTTGAAAAATAATTATTTAGTGACTTAAAGAAAAAGAAGAATAAGACATTATTATGAATTTATTTTGAAAAAATCAATTTAACTGTGGTTATATACAATAATTTAAAGACTTGTTTTGATAATAAAATCGTTTAGAGGCTTAAATAAGAAAGGATATAATTCATGGACTTTTTTGTTGAAGTATTTTTTAAGAGTAAATTATATGTTTAGTACTCAATTATTATTTTTATTTATTTTTTATTACCTACCATTCTTTTTAAAATTATGTATAACATTTAGTTTTGATTTTATTTTGATTATCCAACGCTAAAAATTAACATTGATACTGACATATTAACACAAAATAATATCATGTCTTAATTGAAAAATAAAAAAATACTATATTAGTAATTCTATTAAAATTTTAATAACGAATGATTGAAATGAAATTAAAACTTAACATTAAACGTGATTTTAAAAAAGTAGTTAGGTGATCAAATGAAACAAAAGTGATAGTGGGATACTAAACCTGAAATTTGCCCTTGTGTTTTTAATAAAATCTTCCAACGTAAGCTTGCTTTCGCTTCTCCAACAAGACAGAGATACCATTTAAAGACTGAAAAGGTCCGTTACAATTCTTGCAAACAAAAACGCATTCTAATTTCCCGCTACTTCACTTTTATTTTCATCAATCTCCCCGAAAATCACAAACGCATACCCCCAAATTTCTGCTAAATCTTAGCTTTTGACTTCTTGCTCCATTTTGGGGTTGGAATTATCTAGGAAAAGTTTTCAGCTAGAGAGGAGGTTTTCCTTTTCGATTTTGTTTTAAGGTAATTTTGGATTTCTTCTCTCCACTTTGATTTTTTTGATGTACAATTCTAGAGATCATGTTTGGCTTGCTTGGAAACCATGGGAAATTTTTGTGATCGCTAAACTGCAACACGGGTTTCCCAAGTTTAGAACTCAGTGTTCCATTTCTTTTACTCTGTTTTCTTGGCAGACCAGCAAAAAGAATTCTCAATAATTTCATTTTTTTAGGTAGTGTGTGCATAGATAGTTAAAGTACTTAATGGCTCTGCTGAGAAAATATTCATAAAAGAAAGGAGGAAATTTTCACGGTGAAACCTTTGATTAAATAGAGCCCTAATTTTTGTTTTAATGTGACTCGCGTGTGTTTCTTGGACTGCCTAAAAATTTACAGGATAGCTTATATTTGTATTTGTTGTTGACACTTGGCAGCTGAGTTGGGAAGATTATGGTGGAAGTCAAGAAGGAGAAAGAAGAGTGTTATGAAGATTTAACTGAAGAAGACACATTTGCTTCACCTTCATTTTTCGACAGCGATTTTGATACTACTACAAATTTAGCTTCTCTTCATGGGTATGTTCCTTTTACTACAATTTCCCATGAAATTGCTTCTCTTAAACATTATTAACTAATAGCGTAAAACTTGTCATTTTGATGTAAGCTTTTATTGCTATAGCAGAAGGGTAACTGGTCCAACTAGACGGTCGGGGAGAGGAGGGTGGACTAAAGAAGAGGTTAGTCACTAGAGTCTGGTATTTCTTTTTAGTTTTTACTTCGATGTTGTATGTTCATGCTTAATGACTTCATCTGAAAGTGTACTCATAAGTTGGCTAAGATCAGTGAATAAAATGATGAATATATTGTTGTTGGTTTAAGGCTTTATCTCTCTCTTTCGAACCAGAATTTGACCTCGGGGATGTTTACTGATATTTCTATGCACGTGATTATGGGTGGACAGGATAATCTTTTGACGGAAGCTGTGAGAAAATGCAATGCAAGGAATTGGAAGAGAATAGGTGGGTATGAAATTTTCAGCTTTCATCCGTTTCCATGTCTATGTAGGACTCTCTTAATTCCCACACTTTTCTCAGGTCAGAATGTGTCTTTACAGCTTCTTTTGACTACCTATTTTTTTTATGGTATTGTTCCCACTTCCCACATTTGCTATGGCTGTTCAGGTTGATCGTAAATCTCGAAAACTTATCCTGTAGCACAATGCTTCTCTAAAACTGCCATTGGCTGTAGATGAGCAGTTAGTTTTGCTACTAGTTTTCTAGTTGTTAAATAAGGATGGATTTATTAAGAAGATAAATGAAGGTTTCATATTATTCCTTCTGCTAAGCAGTTGCACTAACTGTTCCTTGCCTTTCCTTCCCTCTATAGCCTTTACTTGAGATATAAACTTCCAACTTTGAGCAGTAATTTGAGAAGGGTTAAATGCACAGCTTATTTTCCTTGCAATTCTGGAAATCTAGTTAATGTTCATTGCGTGCAGCTGAATTTCTCCCTGGAAGAACAAATATTCAGTGCTTACATCGGTGGCAAAAGGTCCTCAATCCTCAAATCTTGAAAGGACCTTGGACAAAGAAGGTTTGAATTTGAAGAATATGATTTCGTGAGATTCGAAATTTTTCTATCATTGATACGTGACATCGGGCTGGTGTTCTTTTGCATTTCAGGAGGATGATTGTATTACTAAGTTGGTTGAGAAGTGTGGTTGTCGAAGATGGTCTGTAATTGCAAAGTTATTGGGAGGTCGCACAGGCAAGCAATGCAGGGAAAGGTCAGCTCATTATATTCTGATTGCGAAGTTGGCTTAAGATTTACGTTATAAAAATAATATATTTTTCAGGTGGCACAATCATTTGGATCCATCCATAAGAAAAGATCCATGGAGAGAAAAAGAGGAGGCCATTCTTACATATTATCATCAAGTATATGGGAACAAGTGGACCAAATTAGCTGAGCTGCTACCTGGAAGGTATGCATTTATTAAAACTTTAGTTGCTGACAAAATTGTTTAGAAAAAAAATCATTCGATATTTACAGCTAATGCCATATTTATATCGAATATATATTTTTAACATTTGATATTTACTTTGCTTGCATTGCATCTTTTCTTTCTTTTGTGTGCGTGTAATATACAGGACTGATAATGCAATAAAAAATCATTGGAATTGCTCCTTGAAGAAGAAGCTTGGTTTGGACTGGCCTCATCATTATGCAATGGACATAGATGAAGGATGTTCTGATTTTCAGGACTGGATAGTTACACCAAAATGTTTGAAGGCCAAAGAAGAGAGGCAAGGTCTTGATGAAACAAAACCTGTCAACCAAAATGGTGCTGTTGATTATAGTACTGATACATGTAATTTAGATTTGGTCCTCAGAATTGGAAATCGAGCAGGAACTGAAATAAGAGCAGACGACAGTAATGTCAGAATGCACAGGTCTTCGGAAGGGCCATATGAGCAGAAAACTCGACTTAATAGAGTGCATCACGATGACAATACTGATGGTATCATTGATGATTCAATCACTAAGATACATGAACCTCGATCAGCCTCATGCAGAATAGATTCTCAGGATAGTTATGATCTTATTTCTTCGATATCAATCGAATCTCCATCAAGTTACTTAGCTTTCAAATCTCCGGAAGATACAGTGAACTCAAGTGAGTTCTTGTTGCATAATGAGCCATCTCTGGTGGAGAATTCTGTAAGGGATCAAGATAAGCATTTAAAAGGTTCGGTTTGCTACTCTACTCCTCGTAAACTCGGAGGAAGCTTCTGTCCCAACAGATATAGTCCAGAAGATATACTGAGGATTTCTGCAATGACCTTCAAGAACACTCCCTCTATCATAAGGAAGAGAAATTGCAACAAGGCTTGGAATGATAACGCCTCTTAATACGCTGCCTCCTCTCCTGTAAGGTCTTTTTCGGGTTTTGAATGCGGAAGAAATGTGAGAATCAGATACTGATAGGTGTCCAATATCCCTATATCCAACAAGAAAAATGAAAAACCGGAGCAACATAGTTTTGAAGCTTTATAGTAGTTGAATACCTAATAATATGAACTGCCATACGAGCAGAAAGTTGTAGATTATTGGGATCAAGTGTCTTCTTTTTCTTTTTTGCATTGGATTTTACAACTATACGACAATAACTAGGAAAACAAATGGTGAGTTGGTGACTTTATAGTATTTTCTGTTTCTCTAAAATCCTTGCACATTTTTTTGAACAGAAACACTTAACAAACTTCATTTTGATAAGAAATCCCTTCGTGTTTGTTCCCAAAAATGAATCTTTTCTTCTTATTGTTATTATCTTATTATTTCATAATTTTATACTTACATGATTTATTGTAATTATAAAAATATATTTATTTTATACTTCATTTAACATGACTTATTATAAAATTTCTTCAACAAAAGCACAAGGCATTATCCCGACACATAGTTAAGATAACTTGAAAAATAATCTAAAATTTTATTATTTACCGTAATTTCAATTTTTTTATTGAGATGGAAGGAAACAAGTTTATGGAAGAAAGATACGGTGAAATTGGCCCATTATGGCATCCTAGAAAAAAATTAGGAAACTCATCCCCTCGAGGTAAATATATTTGGGATCTACGACATGTTATAATATATGAAACTTTCCACCTCGAGATAAGGAGTTTCAATAAAAAAATATATATATATTTTTTTAAATTTTTACCCTGATGTGATAAAATTAATAAAAAAAATTATATTTTATTAGAACTCGTCACCTTAAGGTGACGAGTTTGTATAAAAAATATTATTTGGGCAAACTCGTCACCTTGACGTGATGAACTCGTTAAATACTATAACAAACATCGTAGATCTCAAATTAAAAGTTCACATACCCTAAAACCTTAATTTTTTTTAGTTGCAGTAATGGGCCAAAAACGCCGAAAGATACCTTAACACATAAATACACTCCTCCATTCTCAAGCGTTTCATAGTGTAAAAATCATTTAATCCACTAATGAATAACATATTTGAAGATAAAATATAACATATTTTCATAGTGTAAGTCATTTAACAAGCAAAAATATACCAAACACAAAAGTGTAAGTTCCAATCAGGGACGAAACTATGTAGTGTTTGAGAGGGGTTCTTGCCCCTTGAACCCAAGAATTTTTTATATTTAATTTCTATATAGAATTTAAGTATTTATGAGATAATTATGAAATTGCCTCCTATACTTTATTTCTCGACTTGGAATTCTGTCTTCATCCGTGATTCTAACGACGAGGAATGTTGCAGAAACGGAAACCTTCAAAATTAACGAGGATAGAAGGTTAGATTTGCGGTTAAAACATTATTATCTTTTTCATAGTGTACAACAAGTTCAACTAAGATTGGTGCCGATTTCTAACATTGTCCACACCAAGGGCATATAACTCAAGCAAGACTGTAGGAAGAAAAAAACTTGTCATTGCAAAACTCAGAGGTTAAATAGAATTATCAAAACATTGAAAGGATTGACGAATGCACGCGTAATATAGGGTGTGTAGGTATATATTTTAAATTCGATTTTTTAATTAATAATCTATTTTATTGATTATACTCATTGTAGACACTAATTTTTTTCCGAAATTCTCATTCGATCCTTTTTGTTAATAATATTTGTATTTTATTATTACTTGATTACTTTAATTAGTATTATTAATCTATTGTTTTTAATTATTATAATTATTAGTTTAGGGGTTTATTATGCTTGTAATTAATTATGGTTTAATATTAAATGCATACATATATAATACTTAGAAATAGAATATATATTGATATTATCTATTATTTTTAAGATACAATCCAACAGCTAATCACAACAGACCCAAACAAAGGTTCATATAGCAAGCTCAAACATTCGAGGCTCAATTTTATAAATCAGACTAGCCCAATATTTTAGGGTTTGTTCTTGAAACCCAAAGGAGCCAGCTTCAGTGCCGCTGCCAAGAAAGGGAGCCACTCTCGCCGCCGTCAGAGCACCCAACCAGCTTCTCCCAGCCGTTGACACCATACCACCATCATTTTCAATCAATCCAACATAATCAAGGGAAATTAGAGGAAAATTAATAAATAAAATAAAATGAAAAGCCTAATAAAAATAAAGAAATCATTAAAAATATGGAATAAGCGTAAGCTCGAATGGTTAGAGGCTGCAAGGAAGAAAATAGAGGGTCTAGATGCTGAAAAAAGAGAATTGATCAATGAAAGAAAAGTTAGGAGCTGTGAAGTTGAGAAATGGAAGAAAGAAAAAGAAGATTGTAGGAGACAGTTAGAAATACAGAAAAATTAAGTTCAAGGACTAGAGGTTAAAATGAGCACTATACATAAGGATTTCAAGGCCAGAGAACGAAGGGTCCAAGAGCTCAAAGAAGAAAGTGAGCAGAAGAAGGATGAGATTTAGTCCGAAAGACAATGTTACAACTGTATCCTTGATAGGAAACAAGCTGAAGTTTGATCCTATATGGAAAGGTACTCAACAAAGAATCAAGCTAGGAATCTTGAGCTAGGAGACCATATCTCCTAACTCGAAGAGTCTCTGCGTTAAGGGCAAGTCCTGCCTGCTTTGATGAACTTAAGATTGTCTCGCAAGGGAAATAGAGCATTGCGGAGTCAGATCAGAGGACTAGAGGATGAGATCCAGCAATGTCGGGTTCAAGTTACCAGCATAGAAAACAAAAACAATAGTATCAATGCTGGATGGAAAGATACCTCAGAGTATTATCAAGCAATAGTGGCAGAGCGAGAGCGTATGATGGGCTAAGCGATAGCTCAGATGAGAGATGTAGCTCGTTACACAAGTCAATTGGCTAATAGGGCATAAGTTATTTTAGATCTTACTACTCTAGTCTCTAATTATGGAAAGACGGTCATTGAGCTTATGAACAAAATTGTAGAAATAAACATAAACATGAGGGCTAGGCCTTATCTGTAGTCGATCTACTTTGTAATGGTTGAAACTTTTCATCCAATGAAATTTGTTTTATGATGTTTACTATTGGGGATTAATGTCTTTTGCATTTGCATAAGCATTCATGCATTCATTCATTGTTAGTTCGTTATACATAAAATGCATTCATATCTAAAAGGATAATAAAAATTAATTTATGAAAGATTGTGTGACAGGAGATACTAAATGAAAAAAAGAAACATCGTCATAACACTCGAGGCAAAGGAATGGAGGCAAAATTTGAACAACTGAAGAAAGAGATTGACCCTTAACCTGTATACGTCCTTGAATACAAGTCAAAGATGTCACATGATCTTTGTAAACATTCTACTAATAAAATCCAGTACAATTTTGTTCCTTTAAAATTTCCAATTTAAAATCTTTCGATAAATATCATAATCACATAAAATCCAAATATAATATTTAATCATTCAAATCAATATTAGTTTTAGGCAGCAAATTGGTAGTTCGATACTGTTCATATTACATAGTAAATTGCCTAACTTAAAATTCGTTTAGATAGTATATAAAATATAACTAATAAACTACTATTCATGCATTATACTAGTTTTATCTACTAATATTTATACAAGATCCACGTTATTTATATTATACATACCAATTTAAAAGACGATAACCAACAGTATAACTCAAAACATAATATGCATGCCACTAATAAGTCAAGAGAAATGGTTCATACTGATACTGGAGATAGATCTGATTTAACTCAGTGATGGTGCGATACTCCTAACTCCGTAATCCTTTTATTTTATTCACCTACGTGTGAAAATAACCACACGCTAAGTATATCTTAGTGAGACATTATAAAATAATTGAGGTGAGATAAAAATATAAAATAATTTAATAATTCAAAATAATAAAATGTATATTCAATTAAAACACATGAATTTCCAAACCGACTTAAATAAGCTATTTTCTTTCATTAGTAAACCTATAAAGAAATCAATGTCTCATGATTTTATAAAATCATGACAATCAATATCAAATCTCAGTAATCGATAAATAATCATTTCTATTCGATCACATATTCAATAGTTTCATATTTCAATTTCATAGCCCAATGTATATCTAAAGAGAATGCAAGGTACGTGAGTCACTCGAGTGTGCGCAATATGCACTAATAAATGCAACATACAATGGGGCTTTGTGATAAAATCATATCATTTGTATATCTAATCAGTAACATTTTCAATAATCATCCATCAAAACCATTGCATTGGACAATTCATACCCTAATTAGTAAAAACATTCAATAAACATTATGGAATCATTCCATAATTTGATTCAAACCTTTTTTTAAAAATTATATGAGGTTGACTTATCGCAAGTCTTCCTCAATCAGTGATAATTAAATAAATAAATGCACTCACCTTTGCCTCACTAGCGAAGTTTTATATGATATTCTTTTACTCACGTGCTTTGCCCTTCACTTTCAAATCACTAGGATCGCAAGGTTTGTTGTAGTCTGCACGACGACAATTAAATAACATAATATTTAAAGTACGTTAATATTATACTAACATAACCAGAATCCAACGAAATAATCCATAAAATATAATTCTATACTCATTCGATATAAAATCACTTCACTACTCCAAAATATTCTAACATTCCCAAATTGACACTTCAATTCATTATATATTCATTTTCATCACCAAACCACTCAATTTCATATACCTTACAATTTAGTCACAAGACATGAATTCTTTTAGAATTCATGCTAACTTTTCCAAATTATGCAAAATGGTCTTTCACCATTTTACTCAATCCAAATACAATACTAAAGATTCCAACATTGAAATAATACATTCAACCAAATACCTTTAAATCTACAACCTTGTATTTTAAACCCAAGTTTTCTAATTTTTTGAATTAGTCACCAAACTTTGCTAACTTTTTCATCATGAACCAAAACAACATTATAACGTCAAATTCAATATTCAAACATCAATTTCCAGCATTAAACACCCACATTTGAGTAATTAGGCATCAATGTCCTAAAATTTCCAAAACTTGCAAAATTGTCCCTTTACTTCCATAAGCTTCCAAATTGATCCAA